TTACAGGAAACGTGACATTTTATCTGAGTCTACAGGAGTGACAATACATCTAAATTTTGATTCTTAACCTAGTATTGATAATCCGACTTAATACGACGATAATCGGAAAGTCACAGCATGTATGACGCGTGTATGATTGGGAAAATTTAGAGCGATAGGGACGACACGACGGAAGGCCGTGTATCCGCATATTCAATGCGAGGGTCACCCATTCAGCGGTCGCTGTAAATTATACAACGTTTATATACCAACCGACTTGGAGCTTCGAAGTTTATTAAGTGCAAGTAGATAACAATATTTATTATTCCTTATATTTATATTATGTTGGCATTCTATGTACAGAAGATGAGCGTCGAAACACTTTATCAGTACTAAGACTATGCCGAGTTGGGTACCTCTTTAGTAACCACTTACCAAATTTATAATATGTTCTTATTGTGAGCAAATTGCTATAATGAGTTACTAAATAAACCTATTTTCTTTCTTTCTATATGGAGCGATTACGTCGCGTTGCTCGTTGCTTGTTTTCAGACTTCACATACCCTCGATATATTTTATACCCAGGCATGCAGATTGCTCACGATATGTCCTTCGCTACTGAATACGTAGTAAATAAGTACTTAAAATTACAACTAACAATTTAAAAAGTGCTGGCAATGATTGATTCGCGATTGATCACGTACTTGTATTACCCTGAGCAACCACTCTACATACCTCCTATTTATGCTTGTAAATGATAATGGATTTCTTGCTTGATATAGATCATCGAGAAAGAGAAAGTGGGTGTGTGAGAGAGATAGATAGATAGATAGATAGATAGATAGATAGAGAGAGAGAGAGAGAGAGAGAGAGAGAGATTTGCAATTCCGCAATTATGTAGCAGACCCAAAAATCTAAATACCAAATTAATTGAAGCAAACCTTTATCATTGAATGACAATCCAAATTTCAAACGACTTGATGGCGCAGTGGCTTAGCAACGAGTTGCAGCGCTAAGGGCCGCGCGTTCGAATCCCGCACGGAACAAGTATTTCTATGGCCTACAAATAATTGTTCCGGGTCTGGATGTATGCTCTTGTGAAATTTAATTACGTAAACTGTCCCACGGTACAAGAGAAAATCCTAGGTTAAGTGTATTGTAGTTTTACACTAGCAGAACATCTATACTAGATTCAGACTTAAAATGAAAATGTGTCTCCATCCCTAAGGACGCAGATGGAATACCTTGTAAGTGTTACCAGTAAAAATTGCCTGCGGTTCTCGACACTCGCCATACGAAACGTACGAACACAAATGAAAACAACAGCATTAAGCTGCTAGATAGTCCTTTCCTGGTCTAATAATTTATGTTGCAGCCAAAAGACACTACACCTTGGCTCTACCACATACAAGTCTACTATCTGTATGTTACATTCTTAAATAACATACTCAGTTGTACACATGGCAATATCCTAAAAAGTAATTTTACCAATTAAATGATTACTTTACTTTTATTTTTTTATTTTATAGTCATTTTTTGCTGTCATTTAACGGCAAAGGACGCATCATCATAGATCATTTTGCTGCGTCACTAAGCGAAGCTTTTGAGATTTCTCCAGCTGTAGCCGTCTGTCGATGACTATGGTATCCCAAGATACTGGAAAATAACTTAACATTTTTATCGTCATCGGAGCACTTCCAATACTTCACAAGTGCAGATGTTTAATACACAAAACCCTACCACTTTTATTTATCAAAATCCACTCCAAACCGTTTCATGAACGATAAATACTGTGCAATAATCCGCTTGTCGTCAAGTTCTCGGCAAACACTTTTGGTTTTGTTTGTATGTTATTTAAGATCATAATAAGGAAAATTGTAACCTATACCGTGGTAGCTCAGGGGTTAGGCACTCGCTGTAAGTTTCACAGTACTCGAGTAACCCGGGTTCGATTTCCGCCAGCAGCAATGACATTGTTAGTTGCAATTTTAGGGGTTGTTTACCACGTGCTAGGCGGTAAAAAAAACATCGTGAGGAAACGTGCATGTCTGAGAAATAAAAATAAATATATTTCGAAGACATGTGAAGTTCGCCAACACACATGGGGAAGCGCGGCGAACATTTCCTTGACCTAAAATTCTCTGAGAAATGAGAGGTGGCCTGTGCCCAGCAGTGGCACATATATAGGTTGTAACTTTTAACATTTTATTGCGTTTAGAGGTATCGGTAAAAACTAACAAGAGTAATACGACCAACTAGAACATTACCTAATTTTAAAGGAACTGACTAAAGTAAGAGAGTATCGCAATTCGCAATGTTATTTAAACGCGTATTTTCTTTAGTTTTTTATTTTCTTTCTGCCTTAAACGTTTTTTTGTCCGCTTTGTGATAGATCAGATGTATTAAAATTACGCAATATTTTGTTTAATCCTAAATAATTTATAGACAGTAGCTTTATGACTTACTTAAGGTCTCTAACATCATAAAATCTCACAAACTTCGAAAATGATAGGTCAAAAGTCTAAGTTAACAAACACGCGTGCTTAACTTACTACGTATACTTATTATAAGTGAATATATTTATGGTAATATAAAGGTTACTAGTTCTATAGCCTTGGAAAGAAATAACACGGAAATAACTATCCTACCGATATATCGGTAGGATAGTTATTTCCAAGTTATTAAGCATGTATATATGCATGTAATAAGCTTTATTACAAAAAGGAGTTTATAATTAGTCTCAGGTTCAAACTAGAATGTGCTTGTTTTTTTTTTAATAGAATACAGGTGACAAACGACCACACAGCCCGCCTGATGGTAAGTGGATGCTACGGCTCTTAGACATCTACATTTATTCTCGATTAAGAATCAAAATTAATATGCGTTGTCACCACTGAAGACTAAGATGGAATGCCTCGTTACCATTAAAAAGATTCTCCGGTTTTCTACACTAACCATACGAAACACAGCAGCATTAGGCTGCTATTTTACGCTGGTATTCTGTGAGAGCGTGGTCCTACCCCAGTCGAGCCGACCCATTCGTGCTGCAACAAATATGGCAGCGTGGCTCTGCCACGTATAAAATTCAAGCTTCATTCAAGAAGTTCATTCTTTTATTTTTAAATACGTTACCTTAACACTAGGATTTTCTCCTGTGTCGATCGTGGGGGCAGTTTACAAACGTATATTTCACAAGGACAAACATTCAGACCCGGAACAATTACTTGTGGGCCATACAAATACTTGTTCCGTACGGGATTCGAGCCCGCGACCCTTATCGCTGTAACTCATAGATAAGCCACTGCGTCACCGTCGTGCCGTCAACGTACTTTTTTATAGGAGAGGGATATACAACCATATGCCAAAATCCATAGAAATGAACATAATACATACTCCGTTGTCCAGTTCTAAGTGTAATCCGTAAACATTCCAAGAATATGTCATAAAATTAGCAGATTCACTTATGTAATATGGACGAGAATCTAGTTTTTATGTAACTGTATATTTATTAGCATATTATTATCTGTTTCCTTTTTTTAAATCACTTCGCTTTCTGTGTAAGTTGTGGTTACCTGTAAGAGATAGAGCACGTAGCTTGTAGACCTAGCAGTGATGAGTTATATTTTTATCTGTTGATGATCCAAATAAAGAGAAAACAAGTGATGATATTAAAGAAATTGTACAATCGACTTTAATATTAAATTAAATGAGAATATCATCAATGTAGTCGAAGTGAATTAAAACTGGTCAGATCTAGATAAATTATATAGGACCACAACCACCAGCGTTAAAAAAATCACATAAAAAATATACAGTCGAATTGAGTACCTCCTACTTTTTTGAATTCGGTTAAAAAAAGTCCCGCGGATATAAGCGAAGTAAAATGTAAAGTATGGAATTTGACAGCAAATGTAGTATTTCAAGAAGAATGAGGCGCTTCGGCTAAAATATTTATTTATTTATTATACTGTGATATTACTCTTGAATTACCAGAGAGAGTAGATAATAACGAGTAATTTTGGAATTAAACTAATTTGACAATTCAGTGGCTTAGCATTAGGTAACGACACTTAAATACCACACAGAACAAATGTTTGTTAGCTTATTATTATAGTTATTCCATATCTTGATACAGAAACAGAAACTTTTTTATTTAATATAGATTATAAATGGTACTTATTAAAAGTCACTATTTTTTTAATTTATCACACAAACAGACACAGGAGAAAAGCCAATATATTGTTAGCGAATATAAAAAAATATCTAAGTAATATGCAAAAACAAATGAAGGTTTAAGGAAACATTGTATAACAGGTTGGATGAAAGCTTTTGACTGATTCGAATGTCGTGTTTATTACATAATCAGAAATATTTCTATGAAAAAATTCTCCCGCTAGACGCTTCAAGGTAACTTAACTTTTTAAATAACAATCTGGCGAAAAACGATTCAAGTTCACCTGAAGGTCGTTGTTTTTAAGCCTATATTTACACAGGGTACAACTTTTAGTCCATCATTATATAAGTGATATAAAAAATCAAAGTACATATGGACAATTTTATTATTTAACTATGCAACCATCGCTTGCATGTTATTTGCATCAATTTAATTCTTTACTAAGAACTGAAAAAAAAATCTGATTGCTGTCGTGATACGTATGCTAAACGCAATAAGGAATACAATAACACCGGATGATGAGCATTTTGTCGTTAGCATACGTCAGGTCTAAATTGCCGGGGACGGAAATATGTCTATTGTATTAGGTAATACAGTTGCAAATGAAATAAAAAATGAAGCTTATTTGCCAATCAAGAATGGAGTGATTCGATCATGTACTTGATTAAATATATACAAATAAATAGGCTAGATATAATCTAAAAGTATAAGAAATTTAAATCAGAGCAATGTCAATTTTGCACTGCACAGTCAAGGGCAGAGTCTTGTGCCAAAACGTTTATTTCTGGATGAAGAACAAGCAAAACGGTCTAAGATCAATGCAGACTCAAGGCGGATGAACACTCACCGAGGAACACGATCAGTTAATCCCAACACAACACAGGTAGCACAAAATTGCAATTCAATTGACGAAGCGCTCGCGCAACGATCGATCAACACGTGCACGCCGTCCGACGGTCCGATAACAACTGAAAACTAATTGTTTCACATCATATAGCTGTCCAAGCACACATGCAGAACGAATGAAAGTGACGTGTTCGTATACCAAGTTGTTTGAATGTGCGCGTTCACTCAACGCCACTACGCCTTGAATGACGCATGGCGATTGCGTTTAGCGATCATAGAATTAAAAAGTTGCGGAGAGACAAGGACGGAGTTTTGCAAACTGCGAACTCAGCGCTGGCGTGGACAAAAAATTACTCGGACATGAAGACTGCAGCTACGTAACTGTAAGCAGTTTAAAAAAAATTTAAATCTAGAACCAAGATAATTAAAAAAAGAACAATATTCAACTTCAATTTAATTCTTTATTTGCGCAATATGTGTATACATGGTGTTACAGTATGTAGTCAATTTATATTATTGCTCGCCATATTTAGGCTCATGCCATGCAAAAATTTTCAATTACGTTTAATTAAGTTTTAATTTAGTCTCAATCATTCTTTCGATGTATTTATTAAAAAGCTATTTAAAATAGTGAAACATACGTGATCTTTTCTCTTCTGTGTTATGGCTGCAGTAACAATAGGTCGGCTCAACCAGGATAAGGGCAAGCCAAAGGTTGAATATAAGCCTCCACATAGATTGCATCACAAGGGTGATATTTGCCAAGTTGCCACACTGGGTTATAACAAGGATGGACAACAGGAAAACACTGTTCATCCTTGTTTCTTTCTTTTGTATGTATAGTGACGAAAAACGGTTACCCTTTTTGCTAGTAAGGAAATATTTCATGTTAGTCTTCATGGCATGAGTGACACCACATCTACACCATACCTATTTATTTTGATTCGTAATCGAGGATAGATGTAGGGCCCACATCATCTACCTACAGTAAGACCGACTAAAACTATATGCTTGTTTGTCGCCTCGCTGAAGATAAAATTGGAGATATTTTTCAATAAGTAAATTTATAAAGTTTTAATATACAAATCTAAATTCCAAATTAGATTTGATAAGAGCAAAATTAATATTTGTGATTCAACTAAAATGAAAAAAGGTTTTCTTAGTGGTAGAGCTATGTGGCAGCTATATTATGGTTGTAATACGAATGGGACAGCTCGAGCACAGGAAGAACCACGTTCTCACAGAATACCAGCGTAAATAGCAGCTCACTGCTGCTGTGTTCTGAATGGTGAGTGTAGAGAAACGTTGACTCTTTTTACTGAAAACGAGACATTCCATCTTAGTCCTCAGGGGTAGCAACCCATCTGCATTTTAATGCTACCTCTTCGTAAACCCTAACATATCTAGAACCCCCAATCTTGACCCCCTTTTCGAGGATAGATGTAGATGTCTATGGGCCACAGCATCCACTTACCATCAGGTGGACTGTTTGCTCGCTCGTCACCCTTATTCTATAAAAAAAGCTATGTGCTCAATTTCTAGACAAAAAATTGTGGTAAAGTAGCGACGCGTGTTAATATACACAGAGGACATGTGACTCACAAGTCAACCATCGCATTATGTGAGGTTGACAAACTTCAGGAATTGGCATACTTCTATAAAAAAAAAAACCTACGCCATCTAATTCAAAAAGGCCGGCAACACACCTGATATATCCAGGTTTTGCAGTTGTTCATGGGCGGCTGCCAAGACTCTCCCTCCATCACGTGAGCCTCATGCTTGTTTGCCCCCTCTTCCATAAACAAAAAGCTTATTGATAGTCTCGGGTTTAAACTATGATTGAAAATCCTAATGAAAGAAGTCATTCGATGGCATATTTTACACTTTAGTAATAATTTTAGGTAGTTCACGTATTTTCACAGGATTTATTTTGTGAAACAAATAGTTAGTTTAGTTAGTCTGTGAGACTATTAATGTACAACTTTTCATAATTATATCTGAATAGTATATCTATCTAGTATATCTGAACAGTGTTTAATTTTTATTCTAGGTATAACAAAAACTTTTTACGCCAATATTTTACAATTTTACATTTAACATGTAACGTAAATGTAGCCTCTGTAATTTTTGTGACAGTCAAGTTTTTTTGTTTTGGTTCTTACTAACTGAACAAGCTGAAAAAATAAGAAGTCAATTCCTTTTGTTTTAATTAGATGCGTAAATAACGCCGAGCAACATGTACAAGGGATTCATATGGACGCTCCGAATCCCTTAATCATCAGCCCGTTTTTCTACTTAATATAAAGGCAATACATGACTAAAATCCCACCCAGTGTTTAGTAGTGATAAAGCCCTAGATGGTAAATCATGCGGTCTAACCGTAACAAAATCTTATTAATTCCTGAATTTGACGGTAAGACCGACGCCGACAAATTAGTCCACTACTTTCTAAGATTTATAATAGGCATTAAGAAAGATGATGCGAACCAGAGACTATTTACTGGAAAGGAGAAATTCCATCTTAGTCCTCACGGGTGACAACGCATCTGCATTGTGATTCGTAATTGAGTCACCCTTATCCTATAAAAAAGCAAACTGAACGATGGTGGAAAGGGCAGGGAGGAATTAAGGCATGTAATACCTGGGCACACTTTCCGATATTAATCCTATAGAATACCGAAAAGCTGGCTACACCGCGCCTGTACTCGAGGCTAACTGATTTGGTTTTAGCCAAAACAAAGTCACCAATAAGTCTCTAGAACACACGCACATAGCTTCCTTCACAGCGAGGAGCATTTCACCTTATCACTACACTTGGCAGGTAAATAGTAATTTTTTTTATAAGATTAGGGTGACAAACGTGCACACAGTCCACCTCATGTATGTGGTTGCTGTGGTCCATAGACATCTACATTTATCCTCGATTAAGAATCAAAAGGCAGATGCGTTGTCACCCGTGAGAACTAAGATGGAATGCCTCGTTTCCAGTAAGAAGGGTCTCTAATCCTCTACACTGACCATACGAAACACAGCAACGTTAAGCTGCTATTTTACGCTGGTATTCTGTGAGAGCACGGTTCTTCCCTGTCGAGCCGACCCATTCGTGCTACAACTATACCAGTAATATAGCTGCAGCATGGCTCTACCACGTATAAAAATTGGGCATCGGCTCTCAACTTTAAAGCTGCTTTGACGTTAATCTAGGTATTTTACATTAGGCATAAACGAGATAGATATTCGTCTATCCATCTAAAGTCAGTCTTAACAGAAATTCTTTCGTCACTCTCAACTCTGAATTTAAGGATTTTTAATAGGACATTTACGACACCATGTGATTTTCTTACAAAAAGTGAAATAGGTATCATGTTATAACAATTAAAAGGTCTGTAATTTAAAGGCTGTCTGATCAATAAAATAAAATATATTTCGAAGACATGTGAAATTCGCCAACTAGCATTGGGTCACCGCGGCGGACATTTCCGTGCCCTATAACCTACTCAGAAATGAGAGGCCTATCTATGCCCAGTAGTGGGACGTATATAGGCTATAACTTTAACTTTAGCTATACATCTAGTTGGCTAGAAGTCAATCACGATAGACAAAGACAATTATATTATATTCCGTTACTGAATTAAAAAGTAAATACGAACAAAGTCAGGGACAATGTTAATGTACAGCATTTATGGGTGCGTTCGCGCATCGTGCTGTGATTGGTCGTTTTCTATCTTACGATGTGACGTACGTATGCTACACGTGTGATTTAGATCATAAAATTGTAATGTAACTTACATTACAATTTTAGAAGATATCGCGTTACATAATGTAAGGTTTAAATTTATTTGCTAGTGTAACGCATATATATACATCGATATTAAGTGTCTGAAAAAAGCGCAGATCATCGATAAAAAAATGCAAGTGGGTAATGTTGAATTATTCGAATAAATATTTTAGTATTTAGCTTATTAAATTATGAGGTAAGTTTCTGTCGCTCAATAGATATTTTTTAATTATTATAAAAAAAGAAATACGGTTTTTTTGCGGGATATAATGTTAATATTTCTTTTTACTAAGGTGAGATGTCAGATGCACATCTTATTCAACTATTGTAAGGTCGTTTTTTTTAAATTGTCGTTAGTTGCCAAACGATAAGTTTTTTTTTTAATATTTAAAGATGATAAGGTAATTGTATACATATGGTTATTAGTATACACATATAGTAGGTATAATTTAATATTAATATCACCATTGGATTTGTTCATCTTATCTATGTAACAGATGAACAGCACATCACCTCTCACAGCCCTAGCCTTATGATTATACGAGCCGAATCTTGAGAGATCCACGTGGTACTTGCGAAGGACTCTTTCTCGCGTGCACTTTCTCGCTTATTAACTTCTAATTTACTCCTTATCCCTTGTTGCCACTCTCGCATTCTAAGCACGACATACACAAAACGGCTTTGTTTCAGGCAGACCTAAGCCAATAGCTGAGTTGTTTTCCATTGCTGTCCTCCGTGCACATATTCTAAGTCTAGTTAGAAAACCCAACCCGTTTCACATCCCGGGTCACACAGATATACCTAACTTAGACTGATCATCAGAGCGGGACAGTATTTCTTGCCGGCACACCGCCTGCAACTTTACAAGGCGCAGGTTTGGCCGCACATGGAATACTGTTCCGGTCTCCAGCTACTCAGTGCCAGCTCCTTCCATATGATCGCATCCAGCGCACAGCCGTTCGAATCGTCGGCGACCGAGCACTGGAAGAGATGTTACATCTCTTTGCGTTTTTTATCGCGCTTATTACGGGGAGTGCTCTGAGGAATTGTTCGGACTAATTCCAGCCGCACGCACCACGCACTATTTCACCATCGTACATAGCAAGTTTTGTCGCGATATGCGATGGTGAAATTGTATGATTAATTATTAATTGATTAATCATTGATGATGAATTTTGAATAGTAGTATTTATTGATAGATCAATTTCATAATGTGTTAATGTAAATTAAAAAAATTAAAATATCAGTGCCATATGCTTCTGTTCCATTGACCTGTTAGCCTGTTACACGCTATTTTTTCCAGACGGTAAAAAAATTACCCAGTATACTCGTAAACCATTCCATGTCACGATGTTCGTTCACGATAACAATTGAGCTTGATCAATTATGAACTGATCTTGTTGATTTTCATTAAATATCGAGAGCTTGGTCCACATATAAATTTAAAGAAAAAATTTATCTCCTAAAGGTGAGAAAAAATTTCATTTTTAATGCAACTAGTTTAAGCGACATTTTGCCACTTATTCTTTATGCTTTTTTATATTGAAAGGATTTTTTTTCAAACGAGATAATATTTGCGGAGTTATGAAACACAGGCTACTGTTCTGTTTGACTTCAGCTAATAGCTATAAAAGACATATATATATATATATATATATATATATATATATATATATATATATATATATATATATATATATGTCTTATATAAGACATATATATGTATATATCACCATTGGAACTATCAAAGAATATAAAAAATATCTTTTATAGCAGTTAGCTAAAGCCAAACAGAACAATAGCCTATGTATCTAAACGCATACTCAGTCAAGCTACTACCGCAAACAGGGTGCTCGATCCCTGGTTCTCTGAGTGATATAGGATATCACGACTTAGATAATTTGTAGTACGATACTGATATGAACAGGAATCGCGCAATTCAATGCCAGCGTCCCCTTTTATTAGCGGACTTGAAATAGGGATGAGGTTCTCAATTTGACTGTAGTTGTTTTTTTGTATGTATGTTACGCAATATCTTCTTTTTTTATAGAATAATGGTGACAAACGAGCACACAGTCCACCTGATGGTAAGTGGATGCTGTGGCCCATAGACATCCACATTTATCCTCGATTAAGAATCAAAACTTAAATGCGTTGTCACTCCTGAGGACTACGATGATATGCCTCGTTTCTAGTAAAAATGGGTCTCCGGATCTCTACACTCACCATACGAAACACAACAGTATTAAGCTGCTATATTACGCTGGTATTCTGTGAGAGCGTGGTCCTTCCTCGGTCGAGCCGACCCATTAGTGCTGCAACCACTATACAGCATGGCTCTACCACATAAAAATGCTCTTCATCAATTGTGAACTGATTTTGATGACTCTTTATATTAAATAGGTCATACTTAAGGGGTGGTACCATATAAATTGGAGAAATAATTCAAGCCCTAAAAGTGGAAAAATAGGGGTGAAGTTTTTCATGTCTTAATGAAACTAGCAAGACGACATTCAGATTGTGATATTCCCTAAAAGTATAGCCTCTATACGTCCCACTGCTGTGCACAGGCCTCCCGCTCATTTCTGAGAGGGTTTTTAGGACAAGAAATTGTCCGCCGCGCTGCCCCAATGCGTGTTGGCGAACTTTACACGTCATCGAAAAAATTTTTTTTATTTACCTACTATTTACCTATGTTCAGTACTGGACTTGTGTTGGGTTGTAATCATGATGATGAAGTGTACCTATGAAAATATTTATTTTTTATTGGATAGATTAAAATTACCTTTAGATACAAGCTTACAATATTTTCCACACTTAAGACCACATACATATATACA